TGAATAAAAAGAAAAAGGAAAAAAAATATGCGTCGTGGGTACACAAAGGGTCCAGAAAATGGTACCTCTATCCAGAGGCTATATAGAATGCTATCCCTCAAATTATATCCTTGGACTTTGTGTAGAATATCTTTTTCGTCAAACTTAAATCCCTTAAATTTATCTTTGATCAATCTATTATTAAAATTTAAATTAAGCTTTTAATTGAAGCTTGTATGGATAAATTTTATTTAATTTAAAAATTGAAGTTTTTGAAAGATTTTATAAATAAATAAATCTTCAAGCTAATGTTAATCGAATCGCTTGAATTCAGATAATTTGATTTGAAACGGAAATGGCTTTAAAGGAGGTAGTTTAGTCACTTTTTTTAAGGTTATAATCACTTTAAAATACAATCGTGTTGCAACAAACTTAATCTAACCCCCGAATTCGAGTTATAAATATCTAAAGTTTTGTTTAGGTAAACTTCGTTTACTTGATTTCGATAAAATTGTTCAAATTCAAGTGAATTAATTTCAAGCAACAAGCATCTAAAATGAGATTGTACCGTTATTTTGTAATCACTTTAGAAAAAAATCATATCAAACTCGTATGAACTTTTTAATAACCGTTTCGACGAAATTTCTCGAAAACTCGTTTTTCAATTTTTAAGAAACGATTCGTAATGTTCAAGCTTTACTCAAAATGCAGAATTAATGTTTCGAGTTAAACAAAAGAACAAATTATAAAATATTTTTAAGTTGCATGAAATTAATACAAATCGAATACAAATACAATACAATTCAAATTATAAACGATTTCGAATAATTTTCGTAAGCACATATGAGGGATTTCACGTGTTTGAAATTATCGCTATTGCGATCGAATTTAACTAGTACCATTGGTACTCGTAGAATCGCGCATTAACAATCCACGCCTATTAAACGATCGTGCATCCTCTGTACCCTTTTCGCATGATTCTTCTCTCTCTCTCTCTCTCTTTCTCTCCTCTTTCTCTCTCTCTCTCGATACAATGATATGTTCCTTACATCTGTTTATCAAATTGTTTATTTATTTATTTATAATTTCCACCGCTTTTGATGAATTACAGTTAAATTTTAAGAATGATCATTAATAGCGTATACATAGCTTGATCTGCTTAATGAGTTTGTCACCATTTGTTTCGTGTGCTCCTGTAGCTTTTCACGCTTGAACGTCAACCGTGGCTCGCGTGTCGGCATCCCATAGAAGAGGAGCGATTCCGACGAATACGTTTTTTCCTTCGAAACGTATGCGCAGGCTGATTGAATTGAACGACAGGAGAACGAGAGAAGAGGACGTCTCCGAAGGAGGCAATGACTTGGTTGTTGATCGTCAACGTTTAATGCATCTGGATCTGTCGTAACTTTAACTAACTGTGAATATACAGGGTGTCTCAAAATATAACGACAAAATGGAAATTTAAAGTGAAGTAAAGAATCCTTTTCTTCGTTTCATTCTTTGTGAAATTGTACAATTTGTAAAATAGATTCGTTTTTCAGTGAAGTAACCTTGGAATGATCTTCAATTAAAATTAAAAAGAAAAAAAAAAAAAAGAGAGAGAGAAAGAAATTTTTCATAACATTTGGAAATAATCTTGGATTAAAAAAAAAAAAAAAAAGCAAATCGAAGAAGAAATTAAATATCTCGTATGTTGTTTGATGATCGAAACGATTTATTAAATCGAATAAAAAAAAAAAAAAAATTATATTATTTCTACTCGAATTTTTAATTCTTCGTTCTATTTTCTTATAGATACATGCTCCGATCTCGAGGAAATAACCTAGAAATTCATATTATTTTCGAATAAACAAAATAGAAAAATTTTGGAACACCCTGTGTATAACGTCAACGTGAAATTTCATTCGTGCATCACAAAACTAGATAAACGATTAAAAATCCATATTTGAATTCCATAAATGAATTCCGAAAATCTCTTCCCCCTCCCCCCCTCCCCTCTACTTCTTTTTCTTCCTCTTATCTCTTTTCTTTGGATTTTGACGATCCACAAGAAATAAAATCGACGAATGGTGGATTTCATAAATATTCTCCACGGAATTATTAAACGTGATTTGCATATGTCGTGATTCGCTCCTTTTCACGACTTGCTCCGCGAACATGATGACGAGGGGTGCAAACGTTTGCTAATGGCGAGCGAGAGAAATGAGAATCAACGAAGTAAGAAAGTAGAAAAAAAAAAAAAAAAAAAAAAAAAAAAAAAAAAAATACGATCGAAAGAAATCAAGAAATAAATAAAAATTGTTATCTTGTATAGAGGCTAGGTGGTAGAGAGATTGTATTTTCTTTTACATCCAAACTTCTCGCCACTTCTGAGTGCTCGGAAGAAGCACTGTGAATGTTTATTTCGAACTTTGCCAACGAGTACGAGACGATATCTCGAAATAGAAATTGCTGTTTCTTATCGTTAATTATAAATGAATTATTTTAATCGAAGTGCAAATTCGCCAGGTGCAATCATAGTTTAAACGATACGATTATTATTTTTTTTTAATATATCATATATTATATATATATATCATTTTTATCGTCAATTATTACATATTAGTGCATGGTATGATGCTCGTTTCTAAATTCATTGTTATTGTATCTAGTACATAGCTTAAGAAGATCATTTTGTCATATCGTGCATTTTATTCATGTTATACCCTAATATCCTCTGAAAGTTTCAGAATTTAAGTAATTCTTTCGCTTTTCTTTTTTATTTTTTATTATAGTATTACAACGTTGCCTTTCATTTAATAAAGGGAGAACATATATTGAAATATAATATAAAAAAAGAAAAAAAAATCTGTTTTATAACGAAAGTGCAGGGCCCGTTAGATTAGTATTGTTGCCCCTGGCGTTTCGAGCAGCACTCGAACATGGCGGTGAGCTCGGATGTTCTTTCGACATTTCGAAAGAACGGCGCGCGAGGTGGAAATCACCTCTCGTTCATCTAGCCTCTTCTCGCCGTGTAACGTTCGAATATCTCGCCAGGTTCTCTCTCAATAGCCGAAGTCGAAGGAGTTAACGTGGGGCGTGCACGTTTCGAACGAAGGGGCCAGAAACGTGTGCGAGGTCGGGCAAAATCGGTCGGCGAGGTTAACCTTCTCCTTGCCATCGTGTCTTCCCGTTTCAACCACGAAAACGAAACCAACGGAGAGAGAAAAGGTGGAGCGATACCGCGGTTCGTTGTCGAAAGAGAAAAGAAAAAGAAAAAGAAAAAAAGTAAGAGTGACGGAAAACGAAAGAGAGAGAGAGAGAGAGAAAGAGAGAGAGAGGGAGGGAGGGAAGGAGAGAGTGTGTGTGTGTGTGTGTGAGAGAGAGAGAGAGAGTGAGAGAGAGATAAAGAGAACGAGGGTAGAATAATAGGATCGAAACGAGCAGAGCGAAGGGGGAGGGAATGAACGGCCCTGGGAGTCATCAGCATCGCGGCTTGGGCATGCAGGGACGATACAGGGCCGTAGTAACTGGTGGCACCCCGGCAGGGCCCCACTCTCGCCCCCCAGCGCCACCTCACGCCCGCGGTGGATGGCATCCCCATAATCAGCATCCTCAGCACGCCCAGATACCTCAGCAATACACCGGCAACAAGGAATACCCATATCGACAATGTCCACCACCACGCTTCCATAACGGGTATATCATTGCAATAACAAACCTGGCACATTTGTTGGTGCATACACGTCGATTATGTCGTTATAATATATATCGTTTTTTTTTTTTTCTTTTTTTTTACCTTTTCGCTTTTTCACTACTATTATGTTTTATCATTCGCGTTTACAAGAGATCGATCGATTCTTTTTTTTTTTTTTTTTTTTTTTTTTTCTTTTTTTTTCCCTTTTCGCTTTTTCACTACTATTATGTTTTATCATTCGCGTTTACAAGAGCTCGATCGATTCTTTTTTTTTTTTTTTTTTTGTTTATTTTCCTGTATTTCTTAACAATCTTTTCTTCTCTTATACAATCGTGAGATTTGTTAACGTCATGTCGATAATACACAATCTATTCGTATACGAGGCTACACTATTCAAAATAATCGGAAATATCACGATTTGTTATCGTGAAATCAGACAAATAATTATCGTAACGGACTTTTTTGTTCAAGAATATTATTATATAATCCTTCGTAATGTCGAGAATTGCGCGCACATTGCACATAATTCTCGAATGAATCTCGATTGTCGTCGATTAATTGTGCGATCGATCGAGAATCGAACCGCTCGTCGATAGATTTCCGCATTTACCATGAACGATCGGTATGGAAGGACGAAAGTGAACCAATTGTCACGAAAGTAATATGAGTAACGTGTTCGGCCTAGCAAGTGTGTATTTAATTTTCAGAACAACCGATATTGAAGAGTCGACGATTCTAATCAACGATAATAGACGCAAGCAGAGTTGTCCTCGAGTTGTGATGCTGCAAATGCAACCGCAGCGCATTTTCATTTTCACATTTTATTTTTCACGTTGACATTTAGAATTCTTTAATTTGTTAAAATTTTTCGTTTATCAATTTCTTCAAAATCTGAAAAACCTCTTTTTCGAGTTTATTCCAAATTTAATGTTTCGCGATTAGGAAACAGTAGGATATCGTGAATAAAACTTGATAAAAGTTCGATCATATAATTCATGAATCACGCGATATATATGCGCGTATGCATGTAAAAAATGCACATGTAGCTTGCTCGATTGAAACGATTTTGTGAAATTGTTTTTGTATATATACACATAAAATTATATCGTATGTAATATAGAAAGATATAATACACAATGTAAACATAACATTCATTTCACAAATGGCACGATTAAATAAGTCATATATGCGGTCTATATAATCTATATAATCTATATATACAATAGATAAATTATTTTCATTCGATGCAAAATCTTTTCAACGAAAATTTGCGAACTTATGATGCATGAAAAACTATACAAAACCATCTTAAATTAATTACAATATATATATATATATATATTGTATATAAGTACTCATTTACAAAATGATTTTCTTCTATACATTACATGAATGTTTGAATATTTGTTCTTGTTTTATTATTTTTTTCTTCTTTTTTCCACATTTTTATTTTCTCTCTTAGCGTATCATGTTTACACATTCTCTCCTCACTGACTATCTTGTTTAGCATGTCACTGAATGACAATTATTTGAATGATTATATATAAGTTTATTTCTTCATATTCGAGTTTTTCATTGTCATGTGTTTCGTATTATCTTGTTCAGGGAACACTTCAACTATGAAAACAAAATCATTTCACGATAGATTCACGTATCATAAATATTATATAAATATGATTAGTGCAAATATATCCATAATAAAATGGTTACATTTATTCAGCATAATTAATGATAACGTTATTTCCGTTTGTGTAATGTACTTGAACGAATATCATTTTATTAATCGATAAATATTTTAAGGTTAGAGGAATAAAAATGTCGCCACTATCGTTATAATTATACAAGAGTACAAAAGATTCGTACTTATTATTACTTATGACAATTTACGGCATGTATCGAATCATTAAATCGACACTATTCATTAGATGTATACTAACTATTCGATAGATCGATATACGCAAATAATTAAGAATTGACGTAAATCATGTTTAAGGAAAAAAATCTACTAAAAGTTATACGATCAATGTTACGTTAAAAATAATTCGGTGATTCTAGGAAATCTGTAGAAATTTCAGTGAAATTATTGGCATTGCTCGTAATAAAATCTCATAATTGAATCTCATGATTAAATTTATTAACTATGATTAAATTTATATAAAAATTTAAATTTAAATTCTTCTTCGGGATCTAACAAATTTGTTGTAAAATATTTGAGGTAGTCCAAATTCTGTAGAATTTCCAATAATTACTATTTAATCTTGATTTAGTAAAAATTTAAATATCTGATTTCACTCTTAACTCTTGTGTTATACATTATGACCGTTAATGATTTTGTGATTTTCTGCACATATTTAGGGATTGCCCTGGCGTTGGTACGTCTACCGGGCCAAACGGTAAAGAAGTTTCGTATCACGGGAACGTAGGCGGGTCTAGTGTGGGATATAAACCGCCTCCGCAGCATAGTCCACAATCGAGAGGTCCACCGACGCATTTTCCACAAGAATCCGTGGGTCCACCGGCCAATTCCCCTCCGTTACACATCAATATCTGCGGCCAAGTAAGCATTCCTCCTTCTATATTATCTCTATGCATCAATCTACGTGTACTTTTTTTCTTAAAAGATATATGTACTCGCAGGAGAACACGATGCGCGGTCCATTATTGAACATGAGTCCAGGTCTCGGAGCTAGCAATGTTGATATGGAGTATCGTAGGAGTTCCCAAGGTATGTTACAGTTTTTATATTGCGTTATAATTATATGATTGTAAAAATAAACGATTTTTTTTTTTTCTCTTTTCTTTTTAGCCACAAATCAATTACCTCTGAGTCCTGTACAAATACAACCATCGCCACCATATTACAGACAACCTAGTCAAGACGATGGTAGAAAGGTATATATAACATATATATAATATATATATATTACTTCGATTTCCGATACGAAATCAATATACGTTTTTATGTGGATACGTTTTTAGAGCGAGTCTCCATCTAGGAAACGTCGTCGAATATCTCGTAACGGTGCCGTCTCTGGTATAGAAGTTCGTGAAACAACACCACCGTCTCCTACACCACCGTTACATACCACTCCACCGCCATGGGAATTCTCAGCGGCGCCCCAGAGACGATCACCAAGGAATCATATGTCCACACGCGGCAGTCCAACTATCAGAAATCGTTATCAACGATACACGGATTCGTTCGGCTTGTCCTATCCGTTTGTGCCGGGTCACACTCCCCATCCGCCCATTCATAATTCCCATCATGGAATCCATAGTTCTCATCACAATATTCACAATTCGCATCATAATTTACATAATTCGCATCATAATATACATAACGCGCATCAAACGCATCCCCATCATCCACCGGGCACAGGACATCATCCCGCGCAAGGAGCAAACGGTCCTGTAGTTGTAGATGTTGGACAAGTTGGTGTTTCCGGTTTAGGAGTTGCTGTTAGCGGAGAACCACTCTGGCATCCTCAGGCGACAGGTTATAGAATTCCTTGCCAACTGCACGGCTTATACACACCAACCGGAGCACACGCGTTTGCACACTCGTGTCAGGTAAAAGAAATATCCTTTTATAAATTATAAAAGAAAAAAATCTATATATTTTCTTTTTAATTTAGTTTTTTTAATTTATATATTTTTTTGTATAATTTTTTATTGAAAAATATTATATATATATATATTATATATATTATATTATAATACTATATATATATATAATGATATAAATATTTAATATACTTTTTTTCATTTAATACAAATATTTTATATATTTTTTTTATATTTAATAAAGAAATTTGAAATATTTCGCGTATTGTATGGTAAATAAATATATTTCCATAGGTTACGCATCATAGTCACTATTCAGCAACTCACCCAACCCATCCAGGTCACAGCTTGGTTGGTTCGATAGTTGGCGCAACATCCAGAGGATATCCTACACCAACCGGAGGTCCTGTAGCGGCTCTTCATCATGCTCACGCGCCACCACCACCCGTCCATACTACTCATTATACGGCGCACCATCAACTCTCTCAACAGGTATACTTCAACAAATAAAATGAATTATTATATAGATATATATATATATAAGATTATTATTAGACTATTTCATATCATTGCTAAGGAAAAATATATTTATTTGCTTTCTCTTTGTTGTAGCGAGAAGTTGAATTAGAGTTAATAGAATCCCATCATCATCATAGAGTGGGAGCTGCAGCTGGCGCCCCATTACCATTACCACATTCGTATTCACCGCCGGCTCTCACTCAAGTTACTACTCCTACTCCTACCCCTATATTCTTATCAGAAACAAGAAACAGTCAATTGGAAATGATTCAGACCAGGACTCGACGCACAGCGTCAAATGTTCATACGCTCAGACGATCAAGGTCGAGTAGATGGAGAGGTACGCCTCCGATACCACCGACTACTTATTCAGGATTCTTGTTGCACTTCTTGTAAGTATATTTCTTTGATTAATAATCAATACTGTTTAGAAGAAATTTGTAAGAAAAATAGATAATTCTCCTATAAAAGAAAAATATATATATTTTAATATTATTAAATGATTTTTAGATTTATTACAAATAAATAGAAAAGAGTTATAAAATACATAAAGAATTTCGACAGTTTTAATATAACTTAATTTATAATAATTTCATCTGTGTAATTTATAAAATTTTATCATTTATAGCGCAATGCTCAGCAACCCACCATTATCCCCATATAGTCAGGCGGAACTCTCCTCGCCAGATTCAGCAACAGAAAATTACGAAGCTCTTTTATCTTTGGCGGAGAGGCTAGGAGAAGCTAAACCACGAGGACTGACTCGAGCCGAAGTGGAACAGTTGCCATCGTACAAATTCAATGCAGAAACTCATCAAGGAGATCAAACTAACTGCGTGGTTTGCATGTGTGACTTCGAAGCTTTGCAATCGTTGCGTGTTTTGCCGTGCTCACATGAATTCCATTCTAAATGCATCGATAAGTGGCTTAAAGTAAGTTTTTTTTAATGAATTATTAATATCTCATTACATTAAGCTTTTCTGTGAGTTATTAATGACTCATTACATAGACATTGAGAATAAAACTTTTGGATTATCAACAATCTACTATATTATATAATAAATTATTTATTAAATTAAAAATTTGAAAAACTTATATAAATAGAAGAATTAATTATAATAATCTGTTTATTTATATGTGATTATAGTCAAATCGAACATGTCCAATATGTCGTGGTGATGCCGGAGAATATTTTGGGAATAGCGGAACCGGTAGCGACTGACGCCAAGCCGCTCAAATACACTAGCGCCAACTATCACGGGTCTCAGGGACGCTACTCGGTACAGAGCTTCCAGCAATTACATTGCTCATTTGTGCAAATTTTTGTTGACAAGTATTTCTCGTCTTTTCTCTGACCGAGTTGTATATGTTACGATCGCCTTGATTTCGCGAAGAAGAAAGGATTGAAAATGATTGAAGAACGAAAAACAAGAAAAATACGAGAGATAAAAAAGAATAAAATTCAAAGTATGTCAGAGTGTTTGGTATCGAGAAAAGGATCACACACACGCAATAAAGGTACACGATTTAAAATTACAGCATGCAACGTTTTTACAAGGCGAATTAACGTTTCTGCGTTTATTCCATTGTTTTTTCTCGGGAATAGAGAAGTCGAAGAAAGAGGTTAGAAAAAAAAAGAATAAATAATAACATATAATGAGCAAATCAAGATTAAGAAAAGTGAAGAAAGAGAGAATTCCGGAAATTTATTAAAAATTATCAAGCATTTTCACGTCAGGATCAAAGTCTGACTATGTATTCGTTTTGTTTCATCGACGTGCTTCGAATTTAGCTATATTGTGTTTAACACTCGTTTGTTGTTTTTTCTTTTTCGTGTTGCTACTTTGTCGAAGTTATCGGATTTAATATGTACATAATTACTTACGTAATATGCTATTATCGCTATTTTCATTAACGTTCCAGTTTTTATTATTATTATTATTATTATTATTATTATTATTATTATTATTATTATTATTATTATCATCATCATCATCATCATCATCATTATTATTATCATTATTATTATTATCATCATCATCATTATTATTATCATTATTATTATTATCATTATTATTATCATTATTATTATTATTATTATAATTATTATTATAATTATTATTATTATTATTATAATTATTATTATTATTATTATTATTATT